TGTCAGTTACTTAAAAATACGGTCGTGTTAAAACGTCCCATAAATAAGTCAACCAAGAAAAACAAATATACACGTATGTTTTCGTCGGACACCTGATTGAAAACATCGGTGAAAGGAAGAATATACCGGGAGCACCGTGACCGGGAGTCACGTATTCAATTTCTTCGTGCCGTTGGCTCGTTGGCTCAGCAGTATGCTGACAAATAACGCACCCCAATACACTCTCCTTTATTTATCTTTGGTGAAACTGGTAAGCGACTCCTTGGCAGACCGCCCATTCGTTCGATGTGGTGAGTGTGCACCACTGCCTGAGTTTAGTGTTCAAGATGGTGCTTATACGCAATTCGCATTAAAACTTATCAGAATTTTATTCATGATCGGTCATTTAGACAACTCTTCTCAAGAACTTGGCGCGATTTCTATAACTCGTGTCTTCTTTAGAAACGAACTATTCAAGCTTGGACAAGCGTACTTAGACAGACCGATCTACTAGTGCAAAACTACCTTACTTCTGGGAAAAGAGAAAGTGGACGCTGCTGATTTGAAAAGAGCATTAGACGGTGGACTAAGTTTTTGTGTAGTGCTTTAAATATTCTAAAAGATAAAACCCATAGAGTCTTGAACTAATTTATATAAGACAGTTTGGTACCGAGACTGATCTGAAGTATTGATAAGACTTCTTTTTTGGAAGTACATGTCAGACAGTTTTTCTTTTTGTAGGCCCCTTTCAAAGGCGCCTGCCTTACAGTAATTGCTCAAAGACGGCCATACCTTCGGCACGCATTTTGAGCTCGGATTTAATACAACTGCTTCGTCAGCGTTCGGTGCGTGCTCGAGTGCAAATCTATTCGAAACGACAGTTGTGTCACCGCTTGTCGTGAACCCGGCTCCAATCACACGCTTCGCGCAGGAAGCAACGTCCAAAATATGGCTGTCACCAGCGTTGCCCGGTGAACTTTTAAAAAGGGTCTATTGAGAAGTGCCATAACCTCTTTACGGTTAAGAGTGAAATTTGTCTGGCGATTTTCAGAAATAACAAAAACTAATCTGTCACCTATGTTGAGAGCCAAACCTTTTGGTCTTCAATAAAATTAAAAATAAAATTCATTCCACTAGAAGAGGTATAACTAGAGCAGATTAGGCCTAAATTGTAGCGCCTTCCTAAAAAAAAAAAAAGAAAAAAAACGGAGTATAAATTTAGCTTTATTTTTTCCTCCAGTCGCAATTTAATGTGTCATGGTCTCATGCACAAAATATACACTTGCCACGGATGCGGCAATCTGTTTGGTTTAAATTCAAAAACAAGAGTTACGCTTAGTGTTTGAACAGCGCTAAGACGACAGGAAGATAGAAGAGAAGAGGTCAGGACGAGCGCTGACTATCAACTGATGCTATTTATTCAGAAGAGGATGAAGTGCGCGAGACTCGAGAGTGCCAAAATGCACATTTTTCATCAGACACACGCGCGGCAGCTTTTTGCACGGGAATGGCCTGTGCCAGCCGGCGTCACCTTTTCTTCAACCGAAAGCGCAACCAGAAAACATAAGAAAGAAAAGAAAAGAAGGAAAGAAAAGAAAAGAAAGGAAAAAAAAAGAAAAAAGAAAAAAAAGAAAAAAAGAAAAGAAAAAAAGAAAAAGAAAAAGGAGAAAAAGCACGTGCTATAGTTTGCTGACCCAGGCGTGGTAACCTTCGCCACCTGGAGACCATTGAGCGTGCGATTGCCGCCTTTCTTCTTTTAGGAGCCTTTGTGTAGATTCTGCGCATTGTGATGTCCAGCGGTCTTCGCCTGATGGTGACCAATGATCTTGGAAAGTGTCAACTAAACTAACCGCCGAATTCATAGATGTCACTCCGAGTCATGCCAAGTGAAGGGCGACCCTTCACTTACAGAAGGGCGGTTGAAGGGGCACTTCCACTTGAAGTGAGGTTTACCATTCTGAAATGGCACTTCGCTTTCACTCGAGCAAGTGAAGGGAGCCCTTCTACGGGATGCGTCCGGGAGCGAGAGTAGAAAAGAAATTTATATTTATACTTTGCGTAAGACCACAAAAGTAAGTTAATTCTTAGTGTGTTTACATAATTTGTGTTTATAAAGGAATATTAGCACATAACAAACATGTTGCGATTTCAGAAACGAACGTAGCTCGTGCATCTTCTTTCAAACTAAATTGGCCAGCAATATAGCCATCAATATCCATGCTGAATACATTCCAAGTCCTTCCGATATCCTTGTTCCAACGCCACCACCGCCGTTGCCTTTTCGTGTTTACTTGCCCTGCTGGTTTGTTCTTTTAAAGTTTTCATTTCCGTAGCGTGTAATGGATAAGGCCAAGGCACCCGCTGCGCGGTTCACAGAGATCGAAAAGGCAATACTGATGGAACTTGTAATGACGTACAAAAAAATCATCGAATGTAAAAAGACCGACGAATCGTCATTAAACAAAAAAAAGGCAACTTGGATTCGACTCTGCAACGAGTATAACTGCAACCACGGTGTATATCGACGGGACGTGAAACAGCTAAAAAAATGGTGGGAAAATGTGAAGGCCAAAGCGAAGAAGGACCATTCCAAAGAAAAAAACTAGGTCCACAAAACAGGCAAGTCTCTCGTTCAGGTTTCTCATCGCGCTGAAAGTGCCTCGGAATGAGCGATGGGTCACATTTGTAGCCCGAACTGTCGGTCACAAATTCGCCCTTGTTTCGAACTGTTGTTTCTGGAATACCTGTCATGGGGATGGAGCGTGAACGTGCGCAGACAAGTCGGTTAAGGTGTATCCACACGACGGACCGGGCCGCGGACCGATTGATCACGTGACGCGCGGCCCGCGGGCCGCCCGGCTGCAATGAGCATCCACACGGCGGACCAAAAGAGCAGACGACAGTGTGAACGGGCCGGTCTAACCCTCGACCTCACAGCTCCACCAAATGCATGCAGCGAGCTGCTTTGAGGCTATTTGTAAGGAGCCAAGATGGAGGTTGAACGAAAGAGAAGTTTGGCCGCGGTGGTCCTGGCGTTGACTATTGAGGACGAGGAGGACTTAAGTGAACCGAAAAGGGCATGCATCTATTGTCCCACAGAGCGGGGAATTGCTCCACGAGCGCGATGAAGTAAAAAAGTTGCATCGTCGCACCATGCCGCCATCGTCGCACAACAAAAGGTTCGTCTTCTTCGTCTTGAACAGTTGGCGCCAAAAGAAGACAACGTTGGATTTGGATTCCAATCCAAACAAAATTCAGCTTGTTGCCAGACTTAGCACTTCAATTATACTAAAAACGCCGCGGTCCGCCGCCAAGGTCCGGGCGAGAAAAGCGCTTGGCATTTCTCACAAGCGCGGGCCGCGGACCGCCGGCGGACCTCGAAAAGCGGTGACGTAAGATCACGTGATGCGCGGCCCGCGGACCAAAACAGCAATTTGGTCCGTCGTGTGGATACACCTTTATGCAACCTAATGCTGTCAGTTGAATACCGTAGTAACCTGACAATGGAGCAGCATGAACGGAACCGCAGCACGATATAATACTACCGTTAAATCAGTAATTCTACTTGCAGTTTTTGCGGCGGACATGTACAGTAGATCACAACTGACAACACCCAGATGCTCAATATTTCATTTCATTACGCATGGGGCAGAGGGGATGAACATTCCCTATCAGCAAATGCATGCCTATAAATCGGGGTATATTTAAAAAGGAAAACAGATCTTAGATAACATTAGAACTTGGAGTGCCTAGATTGACTACTGTTTGCTCCTTTAGGAGGGGGGCCACCTGGCAAGCCAATGAGCGCCACCTCCGTGCTGGTTGGGGCGGTGGCCTCACACGTGTTCAACAGACAGGAAAATATGGAGGACAGCGATGGGGCACCCTATCTGCCCCCGGTCTGCAGCCTCCCAGTTCTCCGACTACTGCAGCCGATGCTGGACGGCGAGGAGGACCCTCTTGATGCCGACTTGGGTAGAATGCTTGAACCGTTTCCATGTCTTGACCTGTACTTTCTAAACTGGTACCTTTTCGTCTTTACCCACTGATCTTCTCATGGATATGCATGGATACGGTTATAGATCATAATGAGTCTGCCTTCAGAAATGTTTCACCTGGTGTTCCTCAGTAGTACATACTGGCACCCCTACGTTTTTTAATAATCATGAATGACCTTGCAGCAACCATCTCATCTAATATTAATCTTGTTGCAGATGACAGTGTCGTCAATAACAAAGTAAAAAGTGTGCATGACAACATTCAATTTCAAGATAATTTAGTAAAAATGAACAAATGGTGCGAACAGCATGTACATTACTTATGTACAAGGTAACATATATCATTGCAGGGCTGGGTTCCATACAGCTTCAAAACAGTACATGGCAACTACTGCAGACTAACAATGACCATACTCCCCTGACAAAGAAACAAACAGCACAGGGTATTAAAATAATCATAGCATGATTTCTGCCAAGAAATATCTATACCAAGCACTCCAAAAGGTGGAAACGGTTAAGTGATCTAGTGGCCTAGTTTATGGCACAGGTTCAAAATGGATGAAAACATTGTTACACATTAGATCAGCAGCAGAAAAAAAAATCAAATACTTCAAATTGCAACTGCATGAAAAACAAAAATACAATCTCAAACTTATAAAAACCCTTTCTACTCTTCATGTATGTCCCATTGTTCACTTCATAACTTCTACGTGTTCTTTCAATTGCAGAGGAGCCCGGTTCACCAGCTGGGCCTGCCTCAGACGTCGGTGCACCACTGTCACCAGCGGCTGCCTGCATCGCTGATAGACCTGCAGCAGCCCCAGCAGCTTGCCTGATTAGCCAGACATCTACTGCAGGGTCACCAGCTCCTACACCTGCGGCTGCTGCAGCGTGCAACAGTGGTAGTGCGGCAGCAGCTGTGGGCAGTGGTGCCCGCCAGGTCGGAGGACGTATGGCGCTGCTGGAAAGGAGCCTCGCAGAGGAAAACGATATGAGGATGGCCTTTGTCCAGCAGGAGCATGCCCTGCGCTGCAACTTCCTTGAACATGACCACCGCGACGCACTCAGCAAGAGAGCTGCGCTGCATGAAATGGAAATTAAATTGCGCGAGGACGAGCTGAAAAAAAGAAATGCCATTCACGAAATGGAGATGAAGCTCCTGTGTATCAAGGAAAACATACTGCTGCAGGAGCTGAGCCAGAAGGCTGCACAATAAATCATGTTCAAACTGCTATGCCTGCTTTACTGATGGTTCACTTTTAAAGTCAAACTGAAGTATCACACACTTGGAAGTACGACTCCTCACCTTCATGGCCTGTGTGATGGGCCTCTTGAGCCTACGTGCAGCTCACGTAAAGCTCAGCAGAATGATGTTCTGCCGGATACGCAGACCCGAAGGAGAGTCCTCCGGGAGAATCGGTGGCAGGTGTGGCTGCCGCCGCCTTCTGGCATTCCGTGCCCTGGGACTTGGTGGCGGGGGTGGAGGAGGAGGTAGGGGCTCATTTCTTGCACGTCCCAGATTATGCAAAGCCGCACACGCGGTGATGATGCTGCATGAGTGGCGAGTCTTGTGCTGGAGCCGCATATCCAAACAGGGAAATCGTCTCTTCCAGACCCCAAAGGCCCTCTCGACGGAGTTCCTCGTTCGGATCTGGGCCTTGTTGTACCTAAATCAAATTATAAGGCATGTGATCGATTTTTAGTAGGGCTGGGCAATTGATCGATTAACCTTCCGATTAATCGATTAAGGCTTTAATCGCGATCAATTTTTTTAGCCGGTTAATCGGTTTTTTAATCAGTATCCAAAAAGAGGTCGATTAAACGCACGCACGGCTCTATCCTGGACGACCTGCCGAAACAAAAAGTTTGGGCAGGTCGTCCTGCCCAAACTAAAATTAACGACATTTGGCCATATTGTGTCTTAAAATCATGGTTGCCAGTTCTCTGAAGCATTATCTGAAATCACAGGAAACGCCTTTCTGCCATCCACAAATGTTTAAACAGTTTGTGACACAGCAAATCAATATTGCGTGACCTTCCTAACACCGAATCTAATGCTGAGGATGACGCACTTTTGAATTATGACGATCGGCACGAGCCTAAATTTCGGCGCCCACAACAATGCCGGGGAACGGAGTGCCGATACTCTAAGCGCAGCTCATTTAGTGGCTCTAGGTTTAACTATATGTATCATCAATTGCAAACGTCCTCTGCGGCGTGCGCCAGAGTGTAAGAAAAGTCGTCAAAGGCAAGCCAAGTGGTTGCATTCTTTTCAATATATTATAAAAATCAACACAACCGATTAATCGATTAATTAATCGATTAAAGGGTGGCGATTAATCGGGTTAAAATGTTTAATCGACGCCCAGCCCTAATTTTTAGGCATCTGGGAACATACTTGCAATCACTGTATTTTCTTTTTCAGTATGGAAATAACAGGTTGACATTCTTTTGTCGAGGTTAGATATGTTTTATTGACAACTTTTCGTGCACGCACGGCTTCATGATACTGTTGACATCTCATGGAAACTTTTTCGTTCTTGCGACATTTCGTCGACAAACGTTTTCTTCTGCTAGGTGGATTGAATTTAGTGGTCGCGGTCGTCAAATTTTAATGATTTTTTTTTTCATTTGCCTAATGCTGAAAAAGAAAAATTAGACTGAATTTACTTTTTAGTGAATGAACCACCGACGGCGGGGCAAGCTATGTCTTAAACAGACCACACGATCACACCTCGCTTTGCTCCGCTCTGCTAGGGGAAATGGTTCATTAGCGATGTGCGCGACCAAAAGCGCCGCTGCGGTCAGCTTTCGACGATTGGCCAAACCGTGGGCATATGACCATTGTCAGATTGTCAGCTTTGACGGTGTTACTTTCGGATTGCAATGACTCCTAGCTTCCACTGTGCTTTTTAAACACACCACCGAAGTCGTCGTCGCACCTGATGGTAAGTAGACAAGATAACAACTGGTGACGTCACGTCGAGGAAAATCCCACTCGTGACGTCACGGATGGAAACCATAACAGGGCGCCATTGAAACATCTCGGTGCTAAAATAATCTCAAGTTCGAGCTTGCACCAAGCCTTGTCGAAACCGCCAAGGGTTCGGCAAGGTAGGAAAGAACATTGGATATCGGCGAAGTGATCTGTCCATGAAACGCTTGAAGAACTGTTTGTCACCGGCAATGACTGCCTGCTATTACAGACATTAGTGATGTTGTCAGTGCAGTACCAAAACAAATCTTATACTTCTGCCGATGATTTGGCTTACCTCCCTCCGGGACTATTTGCCGCTCCAGGGTTTGCGAGCGGCGTCATCAGGAAAGGGAGACAGGCATAGCCCATATCCCCCAGCAGGACGCCGGGCACTCTGCTCTCCTCGTAAAGGGCACGCGCACGACTGCCATCAAAGATGCGGCTGTCGTGCACAGATCCTGGCCAACTTGCCACAACATCAAAGAACTGTAGCTGTGGGCCGGTGATGGCCTGCAGGTATATAACATTGCATTAATACGGCAATTTGGGCCAGTTGGCTCATGCTCGAAAACAAGTGAAACAACTGCCCCCCCCCCCCCCCCCCCCCGGGGCTGGCTACGTGCCTGTTGCCCGTAAATAACGTCGCATATGCAAGCTAGGTATAGGCTGTGCAATGGCTATTTCGAGCGGGCCCAGAGGTGTACAATAAGCAGCAACAACACAGCTGATGAAAGGGTTTCCCTATGTTTTACAATGATCGGGTTGAACAGCTGAAATCGTTTTGCGTGAGCATTACCCATGCTTCCCAGCCTGGCAGTTTAGTAGGCAAGCTACGTCAATAAAGGGGGTATAAGAAATATGAGCTCACCTGGACGTTCAGGGAGAAGACTCCTTTCCTATTGCGATAAACTTCCGCATCATCTCCGCCGGGGCTTCTGATGCGCACGTGGGTGCAGTCGATGCAACCCGTGACGCCAGGAAACTGCCCCATTGCGTAGAAGTCGCGCATAACGCCGTGGTACTCCGACGCAGCCGGGAAGTGCACCAGCCTCCGGAAGAGCACCCTCGCGATGAGCGTCGTCACCGTCCTCACTGTGCGGCAGACAGTCGGCTGGGAGACATGCACCAGGTCTCCCGCTACCATCTGGAAGGTCCCGGCGCCGTAAAAGCGAAGGGTGAGCAGCAACTGGAGCAGGGGGGTGAGCGGCAGTCCTCGGTTGTCGCCGGTTTGCTGGAGAGGCAGCAGCGTCAGGAGTTCCCTCACCGTCGTCTTCTTAAAGCGATATCTCGCGAGGAACTGGCGGTCACTGTACAGCTCCATCGGGTTCAGGCGGTCCGATAGATTACGCCGCGGCACCGACGGACCGAGCGGGTACATAACGCCGAACACAAGGTCGCACGCACGAGTAGCGAACTCAAAAGACGCGATCCTGCGAGCGGCATCACTCCGATAACCCGGGTAACCCGCCATCTTTTGCGATGAAGGGAGGCTCGAGTGTAGTTGAAGGGCGGTGCCACCGCTCACTTGAATTTTTTCGAGAAAAGTCCGAGTGAAGTGCGAGGCGAGGGAGCGTTTCGAGTGAAGGGGGATTTATGAAACGTAATGACACCCACTCAAGGGCGTTGGAAGTTAAGTTCGAGTGAAGTGGGATCTATGAATTCGGCGGTAAGGCCTTTCCCGCACATGCCTAGGTTGCTCTTCAAGGAATTCTATTTCTTTGGCGAGCAAGGTTATTGATGGAAAGCTGATGGCTCCTTCCCCTCTTTTGTATATCGAAAAGGCCTCCACGATCTCCCGCGTCCTAAAGTCGTGATGTCTTTTTAGGATGGTACATTGACCGAATAAAGGGGAGCACAAACAGTCGCTGCAATGCCTAACCAAGTTACTGCCTGAGGTGTTTCCTATGGAGGCGGCATTTTCCCTCAGTCGATCATTGATACATCTTCCGGTCTGCCCAATGTATGAACGACCGCAGGAGAGAGGTAAGTCATATACAGCACCTTCTGTACATTCCGTGAATTGTCTCGCGTGCTTCTTCCCGCATGGTGTTTGGGAGATGGAGAGGGATGTAGAATTCACCTTTTTGCACATCCGGCCAAGCTTGTTGGGTGCCGAAAACACAACTCTGACTCCTACCTTGGCTGCAGTTCTTTTGAGGCTGTGGGAGATTCCATGAAGATACGGGATGACTGCCGTGGGTAACTTTTCCTTGGTTACGTTTTGACAAGGTTCAGCTTGGCTACGAGACTCTTGTAGAAGCCTCTCCGCCACGCTGCATATATTATGATCTGGGAAGCCCGCATTTTTCAGTCGATTCACTTGAGTGGTAAAGCTACTCGAGACCTGGTGGTGACAAGACCTGTGAAGGGCGTTTTTTATGGCTGCAACCGCAATGCCTCTCTTGACTAGCTTTGAATGTGCGGACGAAAACGGAAGGAAGGATTTTTTAGAGCGGGGCGAATACTTTCAACAGACATGATCTCCGAATAGAAGTGTCAAATCTAAAAATCGCAGCTGTTGCTCCTCGGGTAACTCATTAGTCAGAGTGAACGGGCGAAGAGTAGACTTGAACGTATTAAAAATATCTCCCACATCTTTTGATCCAGTGTCATCGGATAGTCTGTACAAGACAAGAAAGTCATCAACGTATCGAAATATTTTGATGACTGATTTCGATACGTTGATGACTTTCTTGTCTTGTACAGACCATCCGATGACACTGGATCAAAAGATGATGACGAATATTTCGATACGTTAATGACTTTCTTGTCTTGTACAGACCATCCGATGACACTGGATCAAAAGATGTGGGAGATATTTTTAATACGTTCAAGTCTACTCTTCGCCCGTTCACTCTGACAAATGAGTTACCCGAGGAGCAACGGCTGCGATTTTTAGATTTGACACTTCTATTCGGAGATCATGTCTGTTGGAAGTATTCGCCCCGCTCTAAAAAATCCTTCCTTCCGTTTTCATCCGCACATTCAAAGCTAGTCAAAAGAGGCATTGCGGTTGCAGCCATAAAAAACGCCCTTCACAGGTCTTGTCACCACCAGGTCTCGAGTAGCTTTACCACTCAAGTGAATCGACTGAAAAATGCGGGCTTCCCAGATCATAATATATGCAGCGTGGCGGAGAGGCTTCTACGAGAGTCTCGTAGCCAAGCTGAACCTTGTCAAAACGTAACCAAGGAAAAGTTACCCACGGCAGTCATCCCGTATCTTCATGGAATCTCCCACAGCCTCAAAAGAACTGCAGCCAAGGTAGGAGTCAGAGTTGTGTTTTCGGCACCCAACAAGCTTGGCCGGATGTGCAAAAAGGTGAATTCTACATCCCTCTCCATCTCCCAAACACCATGCGGGAAGAAGCACGAGAGACAATTCACGGAATGTACAGAAGGTGCTGTATATGACTTACCTCTCTCCTGCGGTCGTTCATACATTGGGCAGACCGGAAGATGTATCAATGATCGACTGAGGGAACATGCCGCCTCCATAGGAAACACCTCAGGCAGTAACTTGGTTAGGCATTGCAGCGACTGTTTGTGCTCCCCTTTATTCGGTCAATGTACCATCCTAAAAAGACATCACGACTTTAGGACGCGGGAGATCGTGGAGGCCTTTTCGATATACAAAAGAGGGGAAGGAGCCATCAGCTCTCCATCAATACCAAAGAAATAGAATTCCTTGAAGAGCAACCTAGGCATGTGCGGGAAAGGCCTTAGTTCAGTTGACACTTTCCAAGATCATTGGTCACCATCAGGCGAAGACCGCTGTACATCACAATGCGCAGAATCTACACAAAGGCTCCTAAAAGAAGAAAGGCGGCAATCGCACGCTCAATGGTCTCCAGGTGGCGAAGGTTACCACGCCTGGGTCAGCAAACTATAGCACGTGCTTTTTCTCCTTTTTCTTTTCTTTTTTTCTTTTTTTCTTTTCTCTTTTTTCTTTTTTATTTTCTTTTCCTTTCTTTTCTTTTCTTTCCTTCTTTTCTTTTCTTTCTTATGTTTTCTGGTTGCGCTTTCGGTTGAAGAAAAGGTGACGCCGGCTGGCACAGGCCATTCCCGTGCAAAAAGCTGCCGCGCGTGTGTCTGATGAAAAAAGTGCATTTTGGCACTCTCGAGTCTCACGCACTTCATATCCTCTTCTGAATAAATAGCATCAGTTGATAGTCAGCGCTCGTCCTGACCTCTTCTCTTCTATCTTCCTGTCGTCTTAGCGCTGTTCAAACACTAAGTATGAACCAACTAGCCCACCGCAGTACCTTGTTGCAGTTTATTTCTTCTACATCGGGCCCTTTCTGTCCAAGTCTTCTTTCCCCCATTTCCATTTTCACCCGTCACCTTATTCATCCGTGGTGCCGAGCTCGACTGCTAGCGTTTGCTATTCAGCACCCATACGTTCCTCCGGATATGGCCAATTTGGTTGGCCCTCTACCACCTTCCCGAGGTCACTGTCTTCGGATCTGCCGCATCCTCAGGTCAGAAGCCTGGAGGCAAATCCGCTTCTTCAAGGATTGCATTCATGAAGCCTGCCACCGAGAGGCACCTTTCGATCAAGCCACAAGGCGCGTTCAGAGAGAACTACAAACCGCATCACGAATCACAGAGGTCCAGTGGCTTCAGATCCTGGCCACGCCACCCAAGAAAAGGGAATGCCGCTCACCGGAAGGTCAGGCAGTCCACGTCATCGGCAACACCGACGTGCCGGACAAGGCACGGCGTGTCCTTTGCCTAGGCCCCAAATTCTGCAATCAACCCGAACTAAGCAAGCCCGAGCTGCTTTCCATGGTAAGAAGCACCGCGGCCCGCGCGGACGCAGAAAACGTCGAAGGAGTCATCCGAGACGGCGTGGATTGTCTCCGCAGATCATCAAAAGGCACCAGTTCGATTCGCACTGAGGACACAATCTCCGCGCTCCGTGAGGCAAATTTAAAGTTGCTCTTGTCGGACAAAGAAGGCGGGTTCGCCATAGTTCCCGACGACATCTACAATCAGAAGGCCGCGGAGGCCATCACAAGTAACTTTACCCTATTGAAGAGTTACAAACCTGAAAAGACGAAGAAGGAAGCCGTCAAGATGTGCGAGCGGCTAAATCTAACGAAACTCGCTTCATCAGTGAGGAATTGGAAAGGCCTTTCCCTGGAGGCCTTCTTTTCGGCCAAGACACACAAGATGGCTTGCCCTTTTCGGGTCATTGTCTCGGAACGAGGAACATGGCAGCGCCTTCCGGGGTACTACCTCCAGAAGTCCTTATTCGCCTTGGAAGTTGAAGATCCCTACTTGGTCAGAACACCGTCCATGGTGTCAGATTACCTTCAACAACTTCCCAAAGGGAAGGTTTTGGCCTTCTCTGTGGACATTAAGGACTTATACTATTCCCTTCCTCACGACTCTATTTGTGAAACAGTCAACGACGGCATTGATAGATATGGACCTCTAAAATTTCAGAACTCAGTCGGTATCGCAGCTGAGGACTTCTTGAATCTCCTCATGCTTTACTTACGCTCCACAACAGTAGTGTTCAGGAGTGAGTTTTACCGGCAACGCGAAGGTGTTTGTATAGGATCATGCATAGCCCCGGCGCTCAGTGATCTACTCCTAACCTTCTATAACAGATTATTAGAAATTTCACTCCGGCACTCGTCAGTCATCAAAATATTTCGATACGTTGATGACTTTCTTGTCTTGTACAGACCATCCGATGACACTGGATCAAAAGATGTGGGAGATATTTTTAATACGTTCAAGTCTACTCTTTGCCCGTTCACTCTGACAAATGAGTTACCCGAGGAGCAACAGCTGCGATTTTTAGATTTGACACTTCTATTCGGAGATCATGTATGTTGGAAGTATTCGCCCCGCTCTAAAAAATCCTTCCTTCCGTTTTCATCCGCACATTCAAAGCTAGTCAAGAGAGGCATTGCGGTTGCAGCCATAAAAAACGCCCTTCACAGGTCTTATCACCACCAGGTCTCGAGTAGCTTTACCACTCAAGTGAATCGACTGAAAAATGCGGGCTTCCCAGATCATACTATATGCAGCGTGGCGGAGAGGCTTCTACAAGAGTCTCGTAGCCAAGCTGAACCTTGTCAAAACGTAACCAAGGAAAAGTTACCCACGGCAGTCATCCCGTATCTTCATGGAATCTCCCACAGCCTCAAAAGAACTGCAGCCAAGGTAGGAGTCAGAGTTGTGTTTTCGGCACCCAACAAGCTTGGCCGGATGTGCAAAAAGGTGAATTCTACATCCCTCTCCATCTCCCAAACACCATGCGGGAAGAAGCACGCGAGACAATTCACGGAATGTACAGAAGGTGCTGTATATGACTTACCTCTCTCCTGCGGTCGTTCATACATTGGGCAGACCGGAAGATGTATCAATGATCGACTGAGGGAAAATGCCGCCTCCATAGGAAACACCTCAGGCAGTAACTTGGTTAGGCATTGCAGCGACTGTTTGTGCTCCCCTTTATTCGGTCAATGTACCATCCTAAAAAGACATCACGACTTTAGGACGCGGGAGATCGTGGAGGCCTTTTCGATATACAAAAGAGGGGAAGGAGCCATCAGCTCTCCATCAATAACCTTGCTTGCCAAAGAAATAGAATTCCTTGAAGAGCAACCTAGGCATGTGCGGGAAAGGCCTTAGTTCAGTTGA